TGGATGAGTGAGTGGGAGGATCCTTGAGAGGAATCGGGATCGTCGATTAGAGACGATGATGTTACGAAGAATCTCCGAGAGAGCTTCTTCTTCTGGATTCGCTAAGAATTGGATTCTCAAATCTTCAAGATTTCACGGCGAGTCTCTCGATTCCTCCGTCTCACCTGTTCTCATTCCCGGAGTCCATGTCTTCCATTGTCAGGTACACACACACGCCACAAAACCATTATTGTTCTTGTTTTTGGCTCGCTTGATTCAATCGGAAGAAGCAAATTTCATGGTGAATGTTATTATAGGATGCTGTTGGAATTGTAGCAAAACTATCAGATTGTATTGCAGCAAAAGGCGGAAACATTCTMGGCTACGATGTTTTTGTTCCCGAAAACAACAATGTCTTTTACTCAAGGAGGTATGATTCAAAAGCTTTTCGGATAARGAATGAATCCACACATTGCAAAAGATTGTGTTTTGGTGTATAGTTGTGATGAAGAAAAGATGGTTTCTTTGACAGTGAGTTTATATTTGATCCGGTAAAATGGCCGAGAAACCAAGTGAATGAAGATTTTCAAACGATTGCGCAAACATACGGTGCTATGAACTCGGTTGTGCGTGTGCCTTCTATTGATCCAAAGTATAAGATAGCTCTTTTACTTTCAAAACAGGTATTCAAGTGTTTAGAAACCTCCTTTTTACATTTTGTATGCTCTTTGTTGAAAAGTTAAGTATGAGATTTCTYTATACAGGATCATTGTCTTGTCGAAATGTTGCATAGATGGCAAGACGGAAAACTCCCCGTGGATATAACCTGTGTGATAAGGTGAATACTTTCATTGGACTGAATTCGTATATTATGTAAGCGTACATGTCTAATTGACTCTGGTGTTTATTATGCTCCTGAAATATTTGTGTTAAACAGTAATCATGAAAGAGCTTCAAACACTCATGTCAGGCGGTTTCTTGAGAGGCATGGCATTCCGTATCATTATGTATCCACAACAAAAGAGAATAAAAGAGAAGATGAGATTTTGGAATTTGTTAAAGATACTGATTTCCTAGTTCTCGCTAGATACATGCAGGTAAATGAGATTTTTTTAGTCTTTGCCTAATCTGCTTTTTTCGTTCCTTAATCAAATGGTTAGCAACAGATTGTTACTCAAACTAAAAATAGTCAGGTTCAGCCTTCAAATGAATGTTACTGCCTACAACTTAGTTGCTTTKTCTCATTTTAAGCCCAGAAAGGAATAGAATTGTATACTCAGGCAATTGCTGCTCCAACAATTAATATCTCCCCTAGAGTAGCCCCATTAATAAAACGAATATTCGTAATTGTAGCAGATTTAATCAAGAATAGTATCAATGAGCACATTTTTCTTTTGGCAGATTCTATCGGGTAATTTCTTGAAAGGTTATGGAAAGGATGTCATCAACATCCACCATGGTCTCTTGCCATCATTTAAGGGCGGGAATCCAGCGAAACAGGTCTTTTGAGTTTTCTCATGGCTCTACCTTGTCTTAACTGGCTATATTGTTTGGTCTTTTTGTTCTGTGTTTCTTAGTATTCTATATTCTTTTTGTAGGCGTTTGATGCAGGTGTGAAGCTAATTGGAGCAACGAGTCACTTTSTTACAGAGGAACTTGATTCAGGGCCTATCATTGAACAAATGGTAACATGTCTCCCAGCTAGTTGATTAGTACCTTCTGAGGATACGCCAATGTTCTTCGCCATCTTCTCAATTATTCTGTCTGAATTTTGATTTTTTTTTCAGGTTGAGAGTGTTTCGCACAGGGACAATCTAAGGAGCTTTGTCCAGAAATCTGAGGACCTCTGAGAAAAAATGCCTCACAAAAGCTATAAAATCATACTGCGAACTACGGGTATTACCTTATGGCACAAACAAGACTGTTGTATTCTGATAAAGCAAGCAAGGACTACGATTCTCATCTGATTTATTTGTATAAACAACTCAAGAGAAAAGGTTATAACAAMTATCTTTTGGAGATTTCTGATTKATTTGCAGTATTTGCGAAACTGTGAATAATAAGTATTTACAGGATTCTCTATCGCATACGATCACTGAGGCTCAGAGATTTGAGAGAGCAAGCCTCGAGACAAGTTACTTGGCGGAGAGTAGATTGAATCCCAGCAACCCATCTCTGCTTCTGAATCTTACTCTTGCACTTGAACTCCAAAAGACCCTGTCCAGTTTTCAGACCAAAATAGACTTCTTCTGAATTTTCTCTATCTTTCCTGTAAGGCCATGCAGAWATCTCGTCGCAGACTCCATAAACAACGCCTTCAAAAGGAACAAGAAGTTTCAGACTTCCGTATTTCAAGTAATTTCCCTAACTCTTGAAAGATAGAAAATGCTTACATTTGATCTTCTTGGAGAATGCCCCTCCGACGTGTTTGCTTTTGAGTTTAATAATTACCTGAGAAATTCGTAGAACTCGCAAGCTTAAGCATCTGATATACAGTATGGAGCAATTTAAATGTGTCTCTTACAGATAAAATCCAGTCTTCTCAAGTACCTGAGATTTCTTGTTGATGTAGACACAAACTCGCTTAATTCGCTGKATTCCTGCTGAGAAAGTTCAGTATAAGCATTTTAACTAGTGGAAGTAGCCTTGACTCAGGCAGAGTAKGAGAAGAATAGGATTACCATTTCGTGCACATTGCACCAGTTCGCCCTCTAAAGGAAGATTTGTTTCCTCCAATCTAAACTGACAATTTGCAGTCCAGTTAGAGTCAGAGAAACTCCTCTCACAAGGTGTGATAGTTGCGTTCTTCCTTGCTTCCTTCGGTTGCCTCACCTTCTTCAAAGCCGCTTCTCCTCTCAATGCTGGTTCAGTTTTGAACAAAACTCAGATCACATCCCATCTTACTAACCCAACCAAAGCCTCTAACACAAACTTTTGAACGAGATAGCCTTACCAGTTGCAGCCGCGGCTGTGAGAGTCATGAGATCGCCAGGGCTATGGATATCAACAGAAGACCTAACCGTGGAGGCAACACAAGTGCGATCAGCACCTGCTTGCTCAGCCATCTCAATGCAATGCGAAGCCAGAAGCTCTGTAGCTGAAGCTAGTGCCAGAGCCATCATGGAGCTTGACCCTTTGCTGCAGCTTTCCTCAGAGGTCACAGACGCTAACCCAGCTGCCAGAGCTGCAATGGACACAGCAGAGTGAACACGGGCTTTCTCCACTCGTGCTTTATCTTTCTTCCTCGGATTCCTCGTGGTGCTCGGGTTAGTGTGTTCTTTGTGGTGAAACCACTTCGATAATCTCCCTGATCTATGCGTCCCAGCTGCGTTCATGATCTTCCCTACCTGCATTTCCAAGGAATCATCAAAATCTAAATTGAAAACTGGTCAAACAGATGAAAGGTTATTCTCTTCATTACAATTATGTCAAAGTCGTTAGAACATTAAATATCAGCATGAAAGGAACCATTACCATGAGTGGATCTGTAGCAGCATCTTGGAAGAAGATGGTAGGACTGTTCTGAGCAACAGAAGACAGGTCTTGGCTTTGTTGTTGTTGTCTCTGTTTCTGCGCCAAAGCTTTGGAGATTTGAGAAGCTGATAGACTCCATGATCTGGACAGAAACTTCATTGGCTCCCTTGGTGTCTGAGGCTGAGGAATCCGAGAGAAAAGATCTTCAGTTCTCACAATCCCCTTCTCCAACTCTTCCTCCAGATTCTCTGATCCGAATATCGACGAAGAACTACCATCATTCCAATCTGAATAAAACCCACCTTCCATATTCTCCTCGATTTGTAGAAAACCCAAGATGATGAAAGAAGTTTTCGAGATCAAAGAGGTTATTGTTGACTCAAGTTTGTAAAACAGAAGGACAAGTCATAAAACAGGTCACCAATAAGCAAAAAGAAAATCTTTCTTTAATAACTTGGAATTGTTCAAATCCAGTGAGAAAATACTTAAGTAAATCAATGAAGTCTCCATGTTCTTATATAAGTAAGGAGAAACAAGAGAGGTTAGACAAAGGGAACACAAATCGAAGTAATTGTGCTTTGAACAAAGTCCATAAATTCAGGAAATGTCGCATCAAATGGGCACAAAATGTAGATTAGAGAAATCATGGAACTCGTTATCTGAATAATTAAGATTAAAGGGTAAGATATTATGGGGACATTTGCATTGGTTTAAGAGCCATAAGCTGCTCTTGTGTCTTGTCTTTATGAGTCCAAGAAGATTTGACCGGACAACTTTAACAGAGTTCGTGACTCTACCGACCAATTCTCTTTCTGTTATAATTGTAATCACACAAAACTATCACACTTATTCGTTTTCCTATAAAGATACTCGCACGAGTTCAATAGTGTGACAGATGATTCGAATACCCATCGGTACTATTATTAATTTTTACATGTCTATGGATAAATTACGTAACTAAAGAATCAATAGTCCATTGTAGGTTCTACATGTGGCTTGTTTCTCTTGTTCTGTCAAAACAGCCGCAACAAAAAGA